TAGCAGGCACTTCATAAAGGCCAGTTGACTGACTGACTTCTTTGTGGGCCTCAGTTTCCTCATCTGTGAAATAAGCTACATCGCCTCAGGGGGTCCCTCTCAGCTCTAGGGTTTGGGGACCCAGACGGCTCCCGGGACACGTGGCTTGGCTCCTTGGATACACACAGTTAGGTCCCTAAGAGTTCCCGGGACCACCCATCTTCCGCACCCTGACGCGGCACGGGCGCGCGCTTTCGCCCCGTCTCACTGGTTCAGCGCCGTCCAGCCCGCGAGGATCTCAAAGTGCCAGGAACCTTTCGATTGAGCTCGGTTCCGGAAGTGCTGTGCCGGATCCCGGAAGCTAGTTCAGCAGGATTCCGGTTTCCCTGGGTGACGATGGCGACTAGTTTCGAGTGGCCGTGGCAGTACCGCTTCCCTCCCTTCTTCACGTGAGCCTTGGACCCGCTTAGGGACCACCCCCGCACCTTTTTGAGGGACTTCCCCTCCCCACTTCCTCCTAAAGTCGCCCGCCGTGCCCTCCACCTCACCGGCTGAGGAGCGTAAATTCGGACGCCCCTCCCCCCGGGTGGAGAGGACAAGGACCCTGGTGACCCCTTAGCTGACCCCAAGCGTTCTCTTCCATTCTCCCCTCCTCCTGCCTTGTAGGGTCTCTCCCTTCCCCTGCTCCGAGCGGTTTCCCCCTCTCCTCTTCCCATGGCCCCCTCCCCACCTCCTCGCTGTGCACGCCGCCCCCATCCCCCACTGCTTTCGCCTCTCCCTCCCCTTGCCCTGCGCGTGCCTCCCCACCACTCACCTCTCCCAGCCCCTCGAACGCTCCCCTGCCCCTGCCTCAGTCACTTCCCGTGTGCCCATCCCAGCCCTGATTCCTCCCCATCCTCCTCGGACGCCCTGGTCTCGCTTCCCCAGGTTACAGCCAAACGTGGACACCCGGCAGAAGCAGCTGGCGGCCTGGTGCTCCCTGGTCTTGTCCTTCTGCCGCCTGCACCGACAGTCCAGCATGACGGTGATGGAGGCACAAGAAAGCCCTCTTTTCAACAACAACAAGCTGCAGAGTATCCTCCCTTAATGCATCCGGCTCCCCTTTTCCTGTCCCAACACGAGACACTGACACCCCCCTCCTCCCAATACCCTTGGGTTGGAACCAAGTTTCAGATTTAGACTTATCTCAGGACAGACTTTTTAGTGAGGAAGAGGTGGTGAGTTTCCCCATTAGTGATACCTGGGTGACTGCTTGTCTAAGATGTTGTAGAAGAGACTGGTGTTTGAACTAAGGCTGGGCCTCTGAGGTTCCTTCCAACACTGGAGGTTCTCAGATTTCTGATGTGCACAGTAGTGATATGCAGGGTTAGGGTTTGTGTTTTCTTTTTTTTTTTTTTCCTGTCCTTCTTGACTGTTTTGTTGTTGGTGGGGTGACTGGCCTAGTAATACAGGACAAGCAAGTTCAAGACCAAGTTGACCTTTAGCAAGAAAAGGAGATTAACCTGTTTTGGCCCTGTAAATGCGCCACAGAGCTCTGGGCCCACTTTGGACAGACCCTGGGTTCTCTGGTTCATCCCTAGAGCATCTGGGAAAAACAATTTAGAATGACAAAGACAGAGGCCAAGAAATTATGTTATTCCTATAGCCTATTCTTCCTATAACAAAAGGCACTGTGCTGGATGCTAGAGAAAGAAAGAAAATAACTCCTGCATTTGAGGAGTTTACATTCCATTGCTGAAAATAACTTGGATATATATAAGTAAATAGAAAAATGTGTTCAAAGTAAATATAAGCTCTTCTCCCCTCCTTCAGTCTCCAGAGATATCAATCCAGATCTCGTTTGGATATTCTAAGTATTGTGTGTGGTGGCTCAGCATGGAACTATCTCTGGGGTTTTGTTTTCTTTTGGGTTTGAATTTATAATTTGCTCCACTTCCCCGGTCTCTGTTATTCCCTTAACCCTGAGTCAGGGAAGCTCCCCATGGAATCTATCCAGATTGTGTTGGAGGAACTGAGGAAGAAAGGTAGGTCCCAGTCCTCAGTCCTTGTACAGTCTCTTCCATGATAATTTTACCTTTGAGTATAGATCCCCTTGTGTCTTCCCTCTTCTCCTTGGTCCTTGTCTCTCTTTTACCTCTCCTTTCCTTCCTTTCCATGGCAGCAGAGCCCAGTGTGACTGGCACACTAATAGGTAGGCTTCTTTGTTTCACAGCCTTCCATCTGCCTCTAAAAGTGGGGTTTTCTTAGTCATCCTCTTTATACCTAGTGTGTGGAAGTAGGAAGTAAGTAACTATGGCATGAATTAAAAGGTAGGAACATTCTTTGGTGAAGGCCACAGTGGATTTGGAATGGGAGCTGGGTGTGGGAGGGAGTTAATCTCTCAGTGTCCTGAAAGTAGAGCCTCCTCCACTCTTTTCCACCTCATTAACCCTCTTAGCAACTTTCCCATGCATGATTGCTTTCCAGGGAACCTGGAGTGGCTGGATAAGAACAAGTCCAGCTTCTTGATCATGTGGCGGAGACCAGAAGAATGGGGGAAGCTCATCTACCAGTGGGTGAGACTCATCAGTACAGAAAAAGCACCTCACCTTGGGGGTAGAAAGGAATTGGGGTTCAGCGCTGTGTGTGCAGATCTCCATACCAAGCACTTTGGGAATGGGTTATAGAAGAAAGCTGCATCTCGGGCAAGCCTTTCCTTATGCCTCAGTTTCTCTGACTGAGTAAAGCTTCCCTTTCTTTCTCTTCTCACCACCAAGAGTCAATGGGCTGGGCAAGGCCATATTTTCAGAGCACAGTGGGGGGAACCGCTGGCTGCTTTGTTGGCCGGAGGCTCTGACCACAGGAGATAAATGAGGAAAGGGCAAAAAAATAACTTGAGGCCTCTTCTTCACACACATACTCATAGGGTCTACCTCAGACTCACAGAATGCCAGTGAATTTCTTTGAGCCATTGTAGAGTCAGAACAGGCTCTCCTGAAACTTCCAGCCACAAAACCCAACTCCTCCAAAAAGGGAAGCAGCATTAGTAGCAAGATGACATGTACAACGACATCCAGCCACCACCTCTTTCCTGAATAGGGACCTAGGCAGGACAAGAGGCCACTCATAGGTACGTGAGAAGTTGTGGTTTTAATGCTGTGTATGTATGTAAATATAGCTTCCCTTAGGGAATGTGGCTACTCAGGCACTCTTTCTCTGAGGCTAAAATCAGCTCTGGTACCTGATTCTTGGATTAGAGGGGAGGAATCAATGAGGTGACAACCCTAGGACCTTGTGGGTCCCACTTAGCCCTCATTTTCTACATCCACAGGTTTCACAGAGTGGCCAGAACAACTCTGTATTTACCTTTTATGAACTAACCAGTGGAGATGACACAGAGGATGAGGGTAATATCTTTAATTTCCCTCCCAGTTTGAATCCTGTATTTCCTATTCCCTGTTTTGTTATCCATCTCATAATCTTGACCCCTGAGTGTGTGGGTGTGTGTGTCTGTGTCTGTGTCTCTGTGTCTGTGTGTGTTTGGGGAGACAGAGGATAATAATGGTTCCTCATCCCCTCCTGACATCAGCTGAGGTGAGTTGCGGGGAAGGGACAACCTAACTTTTCAGGTATTTTAGCTTCTGTCTAGTCAAGAATTAGGTTTCATTTTGGTTTCTGAATCATCTCATCCCTTTCCCTAAAAACTCATCCTTCACCTAGATCCTTAGAATCACTTCTCCATAGAACCAGCTTCTAGATCAGTAGCAGAATTGACAGCTCTTGGCTGCAGTCCCCATCTTTCAAGGCCCTGCTTGCTTCCACCTTTGGAATACTGCTGTTCTGCATAGCGGTCAAGGCCACACAACAACCCAGAGTGGGGAAAGCCCAAGGTTCTGTCAGAAACCAGACTGCTGTGTGTATATGGAGGTATACATGTCATGACCTGTACTGCCTTGCCTTTGGCACCTTATGTCACCGGTCATCTTGCCCACCTCCTCCCTGATCCATCCTCCATGACCAGGAGAGTTGGCTGTCCTGGTAGTATCCTGGAACCTGTATAGCCTTAGGATATACCGTCTCTAGCTTAGATGCAAGGTGATTGGGGTTCACCCTTTGCTCCTCCTGTGCCAGGTACTGAAATGCTAGGTGGAGTCTTATGTCTAACTCACCAGGCATCTTAGTTCAGCAGCCTGTACCAGTCATCAACTCAAAATGACCCTGTTCATTTCTCCTCCAGTGTTTTAGAGCTTCAGATTCCCAGTACATATGTGGAGAGGTGGGATCCCCTTACACCTCTGCTTTCTCCACAGAGTTCCATGGGCTGGATGAGGCCACACTTCTTCGAGCTCTGCAGGCCCTACAGCTGGAGCACAAGGCTGAGATCATCACAGTCAGTGATGGTCGAGGGGTCAAGTTCTTTTAGTGGACCCGTTACTCTACCCCTTCCTTAATTTTCTGAAGGAGATAGGCTCTGTCCCCACAGATTGGAGCTTATACCCAAATGTAACTTAAAGAACTTTTCAACTTCCCCCCACTTGTGGGTTGGGAGACCCATGGGAGAATTTGGAAGAGAATTCCTCTGTTACCCCACTGTTCTGCTCCATGAGTGGGTTGAGGTAATAGCCCCAGAGAGAAAAGATGTGCCTCCTTTCTCCTTAATCTTTCTACTCCCTTATTCCAGACTTTGGCTGATCCAGGGTCAGTAAACTCACAAAACATAGTCACACATATCTACAAGTACACAGCACCTACTGACTTCTCCCCTCAGGTTTAGCCTGGATCCTCTAAAGAGGATTAGGGGTTACATGGAGGACCTGGCTGCAGGCAGCCCACAGGGCATCAGAGGAATAGTAGATCAGAGAGGGAGAACTGGCAGCAAAGTGCCAGGTATGGCTCTGATCTATGTTATTAAAGCTGGATTGTTCAGCTCTCAGTGTCTTTGTCCGGGTGACTGTTTGTGTGGGAAAGTGGGGACTGGAACTGAGGATGATGAGAGTGGTTTGTGAACTGGTGAATCTTAGCATAGAGATTTGGGGGCATCTAAGGTGAGGAAGAGAAGAGTCCTGTGGTCTTTAAAATGTCCATAGGGAATTTCAGGATCAGTTTTCTCCAAACTAATTCTAGACCCTTCCACTAGGATTTAGCTGTTAATGTTTTGTTGGTCAGCATTACAAGAAGGACCTTGCAACTTGAAGAAACACTAATGATTCTAGCTACGCTGCAGTGACAGTCCCTCTTTTTTCCCCTACAGGTCCTAAACATAGGGTGGGGCTCTCTTTTGTAGGCGGAAGCAAAAGGGTTAGGGCGGATTTGAACTTTGCTTTATTGGAGAGGTGGTCAAACAGGAAAGCGCAGATGGCTGCAGGATAGCCAACTGGTCCAGGTTGGGGGCCGGAGGGGGGAGGGTGGAGACGGAGCTCTCAGTACTGGAGTGGGTGATGGAGAGGCGTGTCCCGACAGCATAGCTCCTCAGTTGGAGCAAACAGCAAAGTGACCAAAGGGGGCGGGGTCGTGGAAGAGAAACCCAGGCGTTCTGTAGTCCTTGTGCCCTCTGCCTTTGCTTTCGCCGCTGGAACTACTCCGGCCGGTTAGTGGACGAAGGTAGGGTTGCCTTATCAGGCGGGTGGCAGCCTTACCCCCACCCTGGAACCAAGAGCTACTCACATTTCCTCCTCTCGTTTAGGCTGGAGTGCTAGCTCCTTGTATGGCGGAGAAGAACCTCTCTGTTCAGGACAAGAGTTTTACTTCTGGGGGGGGGGAAATGGAGAGAAGTGGTCGTCTGTGAGGGGGAGGGCTAATAGCTTTGAGTGATGAGACGGGAGCGGGTCTCAGGAGGTGGAGTATGAAATGAAGCAGGTTTAGCAGCATCTATAACAAAATCTTTCCTGGCTTGCGCTGGGGGAATGCGAGAGCACAGAAACCCCGAAGGGGCAGCCAGGGGTGGGCGGGAGGAGGGGTGGAGAATAGGCGGGGGTTAGGGAGGGAGCCCCCCAACTGAGGGGCCTGTGGGTAGGGCCAGAGTGGAGGAGGCGGAGCTTCAGAGCAGGAGAGCTGGGGGTCGGGGCTGGAGCCTTATTGCAGAAGCTTGAGCTCAAACCCCAGTGAGTCTCTCCGAGCTAGCGCAGTTCTCTAGACCCAGACCCCAAAGAGCAGAGTCCTGCTACCTTTGGCTCCTGGCCTGCGGTGCCATCAGATCCTTTCCTTCCTCATGCTGTCCCCCCCTGCTCCGGAGACCCCTGTTCCAATGTCTCAGACTGAGGCGGACCTGGCGTTGAAGTCCCCGCCGCCTCCCGCTCCTGCCGGGGTTCCCCGCCTCGGTCCGGCGCCCCGGCGGATGCGTCGCTTCTCCGGAAAAGGGGAGCTCCGACCACGCTCCACGCGTTTCAGCCGCCGCAGTTCGGTGGACCTGGGGTTCCTGAGCACTTGGTCTGAGCCCGCCCCGCCCCTCCCTGATCCCCCGGGCCCTCCGGATTTAAGTAGTCCGGGTTCCCCCAAGTCCGTACAACCTAGCTTCGGGGAGCAGGCGGAAGGTGCACCAAGCGTGGGTCCTGCAGGGAAGCCAGGAGAGCTAGGGCGTCCGGAACTCTCAGGATCGGGGGGAGGCCTGGGTTTTGGGGAGATGCTGCAGAGCCCCGGTGGGGTGGCGCCTGAGAGGCTACGAGAGCAGGAGGAGAAGGAAGATACGGAGACGCAGGCTGTGGCCACGTCCCCGGACGGCCGCTATCTTAAGTTCGACATCGAAATCGGACGTGGTTCCTTTAAGACTGTCTACAGGGGTTTGGACACGGATACTACGGTGGAGGTCGCTTGGTGTGAGCTGCAGGTGAGAGGTGGGTGGGCGTGGGGGTGTCACTTGAGCTGTGGCAGCGTCCAGAGGAAGGTAGAAAATCGCTTCCAATCCGGGGACCCTTCCTGTGAGATCTTCCTGGATAGAGGGGACGCAGCAGGCAGAATCCCAAGTTTGCCTCCCTGTCTCCATCTACCCACATGTCCCAATTGGTCTGCGTTGACTGGACTGCTGGTCCGATCACTCTAGTCATACCATAGAGAATCCCACTGAGAAAAACAGACGGGTAACGTGCAGTGGGGACTGCTTGTCCCTTAGCAGGATCCGCTTGATTTCCACCTCAGCCTTAGGTCAAGACGAAGGATCAGAGGAGAGCTTGGTCCCTGATCCCCATTGCTGGCCAGACCTGTCCAGACACAGTGGGTTGGGGTTGACCTCAGGGGTTATTTGCTTACTCTTCCTCTCACTCCAACCAAAGGGAGACCAGCCCTGGATCCCTTCTCCTCAGCGCCCTCCCTAAAGGTCACTGGAGGTCATGGGTGCAGGGGGAGAAGCCCAAGCCCTTGGGACAGGGTCTTCTCAACGCAGGGGATTTAGTTGGACCTCGGAAAGACCAGTCTTTCGGGGGGGGGGCGTTTCGGGGTAGTGAAGGAAAAGAGGGACTATATGGGAACGCCTAGAGCCCGCCACCCTAAGACTGCTTCTGTGGCAGCATGGAATCAGGGAAGTTTCCCCCCAAAAGATCCTTGGAGCCTTCGGCGAGAAAGCAAGAACAGAGATCCTATGTCCTGGGTTAGGCGTCGGAACACCTGATTCCTCAATTCTTTCTTCGTCCCATTGTCGTCCCCAACCCTCAGGTGTGGGTCTGGGCTGAAGATCGTGAGTGCTGGAAGGGGTGTGAAATCATTCACGTCTCCCTCCTCCCCGAGTTCCCTTTCAGACTTCACTACAGGCTTGAAAAATAGAATCAGCTGTAGTTCCCAGTTCTGGGTCCTGAAAGGCTACTTAGCCCCGGATCCCTCAATGAGACTGTGGGGGAGGAGGCCGGGGCGGAGTGGGCACCTTGAGGGAAGGGTCCCTCCCCTCGGGTCCTGGCACCAGGAGGGTCCCTCACTCCTGCCAACGCCGCGCCCTGGGACCTGGGCCAGGAGGAGAGAGGCGGCCAAAATGAGGGGGGTGGAGATGAGGGAGGAGAGACGTGGGGCGAATGGTGGAGGGTAGGTCAGGGGGAGAGGCAGGGGCTCAGGCTCCAAGAAACCTAGAATCTTTGCACTCCTCTCTCTAGTCCTGCCTTTGACTCTTGTCTACCCAGTTCTTCTCGTTCTACCTTTCCTCTTCTGCCCCTCTCTCCCACTTTTCCTCCAACGTGCTTCCCCTCCGGTTCCCCTTCGGGCCCCAGGTCGCCCCCTCCCACTCCCACCACCGGAGTCGGGCACAAAGACTGCATTGAACTCTAGGCCCCTGGACCGTACCACATAAAGGCGCTTGTGTTCGTCTGTGGGGGTCCGAGTACCGCGTCGGGTGCGTCCTTGGAGCCAAAACGGGAGAGGGCGGGCCGGGTGGGGCCGGGGCCCGGGAGCCTATTGGGCAAGAGCCCCACCCGCCCCCGACCCAGCCCCTCCCCACCCCCAGAACCCAGACCTCCGGGAGTCTCCAGACCTGCCTCCTCAAGTCCTATCCCCTACAGCCTCCCCCATTCTGTTCATCTCAGGCTCTTTTGCCCCCCCCTTGCCCGGAAGAGGACCCCACACTTAGTTGCTACCCCTTATCCAGGCATTCTAGGGATCTGAAGGACACCCTTTGGGCGTTGGGTTTCGTATTACCATTCACTACCCCCTCCCCCACCCCTAGACTCGGAAACTGTCCCGGACAGAGAGGCAGCGTTTCTCCGAAGAGGTGGAGATGTTGAAAGGGCTGCAGCACCCCAATATCGTCCGCTTCTACGACTCGTGGAAATCTGTGCTGAAGGGCCAAGTCTGCATTGTACTAGTCACAGAACTTATGACTTCGGGCACGCTCAAGACGTGAGTTCTGGAACCATGGGCCAGCAGGGCTCAGGGAAGAGGGCGGGAGTATGCTCAGGGACACCCGATGGAGGAGATGGAGGACTCCAAAAAGACCTCTCCAAAGTCCAGTGCTCCAGTCTTGTACCCTTAGGTGGTCCCTCACTATACTCTCCTATCTCCATGCTCACGCCCTCTTTTCTCCTCCCAGATACTTGAGGCGATTCCGTGAAATGAAGCCTCGGGTCCTTCAGCGCTGGAGCCGACAGATCCTGCGTGGGCTGCACTTCCTGCACTCCCGGGACCCCCCTATCTTGCACCGGGACCTCAAGTGCGATAACGTCTTTATTACGGGGCCCACTGGCTCAGTCAAGATCGGGGACCTTGGCCTAGCCACACTGAAGCGCACCTCCTTTGCCAAGAGTGTCATCGGTGTGCTCCCACACTCCTTTCTACCCTGACTCTTCCCGATCTCTCTCCCACATCCCCTTCCCCACTTAACTCACTCTAGCATTAGAGAAGACTGGAGGGGCCCCAGAATGCCCCAATCCCGGGAGCCTTTGAGAGCTGAGGGGTGAAAGGCGACTGGGAACTCCTTGGAAGTGTAGCCGAATGCAGAGAGAATCTAAATCCGGGATATGACTAAAAGAGGGAGACACAAGCCAGCCCAGCCCAGATACAGATGTGGGGATCAGTCTTGTCCTAGAGTTCCTCTCTCCTCATTCCCAACATGTTCCTATCCCAGCCCACGCAATCTAGTTCTTGCCCTGGTTGAAATTCCTCTACCAGGCGGCCATGGAGAATATAGGAACCACCGGTTGATCCCCATTTTGCCCCCACCTAGGAACCCCGGAGTTCATGGCACCTGAGATGTACGAGGAGAAATACGATGAGGCAGTGGATGTATATGCATTTGGCATGTGCATGTTGGAGATGGCCACTTCTGAGTATCCTTATTCTGAGTGTCAGAATGCTGCCCAAATCTATCGCAAGGTCACTTCGGTGAGGAAATGGGAGGAAAGGATCTCCCAATCGCTGATTTCAGTGCTTCCAGTCTCTTTGCTGCCTGATTTTTAATACATATACCTGGACAAAGAAATACTTTTTTTTTCTGGGAAGACAAGGGTTTAACTTTATTGCCACTGTCCTCCATTCCACAATTTGTGAGACAATTTAGGAGACAGTGGGTGGGCAGCTAGGTGGTGCAGTGGTTAGGGTACTGGCCTTGGAGTCAGGAGGACCTGAGTTCAAATTCGACCTCAGACACTTAGCTGTATGACTTTGGGCAAGTCACTTTAACCCTGTTTGCCTCAGTTTCTTCATCTGTAAAATGATCTCGAGAAGGAAATACCAGTATCTGTCAAGAAAACCTCAAATGGGTATCTTGTCTGGCTCTGAGGTTGGACATGCACTAAGTCTAGGTCCCTTCTCTTCTTCTGCCCAGGGCACGAAGCCTAATAGTTTTCACAAAGTGAAGGTACCAGAGCTGAAGGAGATAATAGAAGGCTGTATCCGCACAGATAAGAATGAGAGGTGGGGCCTGGAAATGGAATTGTGGGAGACATGGAGGTTGGGGTATGGAAATAGGGGAAGATGAGGATGTAGGGGTGGGGGAGAGAAAGGAGAACACCATATTGGCCCTCAACTAATCTGACCTGCTCCATTTCTAGGTTCACCATCCAGGATCTCCTGGCCCATGCCTTCTTTCGAGAAGAGCGAGGTGTACATGTGGAACTGGCAGAGGAGGATGATGGGGAAAAGCAGGGGCTGAAGTTGTGGTTGCGAATGGAAGATGCCAGGAGGGTTGGCCGTCCTCGAGACAACCAGGCCATTGAGTTTTTATTCCAGCTGGGAAGGGATGCGGCTGAGGAAGTGGCCCAGGAAATGGTGAGAGGACTGGACCTTAAGGACAAGGGAGGAGATATGTGTTGGGGTAGTATTACTGTATGGAAGGAGGGGCAAGGTGGGGAGAGAAATAAAGAAAATGTGGATGATGGGAAGTAGAGAGGAGAATGAAGGAGAGGAAGTTGGTTCCACTCAATAGAGGGAGGGAAGCTAGGAGGAGGTGGATGACACTAATCTAGGAAAAGTCCAGGTTAAAGGGGGAATCTAAGCATATTCTTTGATTTGAATAATATTCCTTCCCCATGCTCAATTAAGACTGCATCCTTGGTAGGGAAATCGAAGTTGAGAGATCTGGATCTTCTCATTCATTTCTTCTTTTTTTTTTTTTAAGCTGTTAAATATACAGTAGCAACATTTATTTCACCATTTGTATGTAAAAGGTGTTTCTCCAGGCCAGATGATTTGATATAAAAATCAAACCCATCACACTGCCCACCCCACCCTAACCCACTCCCACCCCCAGTGGTACTTTCTACATCAAGTGCAATCAGAAATTTGTACAACATGAATATCTGCTTCTGAGGAATGATGGCTGGAGGTCCATGTTTCTGTATCTGTCTGTATGTAAACTTGTCTCTAGGTATGCATTGTTATTTTCTTTCTCATCAGGTGGCCCTGGGACTAGTCTGTGAAGCAGATTACCAGCCTGTAGCTAGAGCTGTTAGAGAAAGAGTCGCTGCCATTCAACGAAAAAGAGAGAAGCTTCGTAGAGCTCGGGAGACAGAGCCACTCCCAGCACCCCCAGGACCACCTCCAGTGGTTGCCCCCACAGCTCCTGGTCCCGAAGCTCCCTTTCCCCCTGAACCTGAGGAACCTGAGGCGGATCAGCACCAGCCATTCCTTTTCCGTCACGCCAGCTACTCCTCTACCACTTGTAAGTCACCCCTGATCCCTGGTATTAGGCAGCCCCCTCCTCCCAACCTTTGCTGGGGCTGAACTTGTAACACCTCCTAACAACCCTCTGTAGAACAGTCTCCCCACCTGGGTGGGAGAGATTCTTCCTGCTTCTAACCCTATTGCTGTCTCTGGGAAGGAAGAAATGGAACTGCCTTTGGAGCTCTTTACCACTCAGGCTTACTCCTTCTTTGTCCAGCACCCTTCTCTTGGCTCTTTCTAATTCCCCCTCCCTTCATCTCTCTCCTGCAGCGGATTGTGAGACTGATGGTTACATTAGCTCCTCTGGCTTCATTGAAACTTCAGACCCAGTGCTCCAGCCTCATGGAAGAGAACCATCCAGCCCTGCTGATCCTCAGATCTGCCTGCCTTCGGTGAGAGAGGCTAAATTGGGGGAAGGGGACGCTAGTGGTTTAAATCTCTGACTCATCTTCCTGTGACTCATAACCCCATGAGCCTAGATGTTCTCTTTTTCTTACCTGATGATCCCTGGCTATACCTCCTTGGAACTTCACTACCCTTGACTTCATCTGTTCCTGATCCAATTTTCTAGGATGTTAGGATCTTTGACTGTGACCCCCAAAACCCAGAATCACAGAATGTCAGTGGGAAAAGTCTATCTAATTTCTTCTGATTGACCTCATGTACTTTCAGGCCTTTGCCTTATCCATTCCCCGATCTGGTCCAGCCAGTGACTTCTCCCCTGGGGATAGGTATGTTCTAGATTAGGATGGATGGAGTAGGTCTTGGGATGTGGTTGGAGGAAGGAATTGGGATAAGTGTGCCCACAGCTTTCCTCTTCCTTCTTCTACTTCCTCCCCTTTCTCCAGTTATACTTCAGATGCAGCATCGGGACTCAGTGATGTAGGAGAAGGTCCAGGAAGAATGAGGAGACCCCCTGGGAGAAGCCCAAAGCGTAGACCTCGATCCCGCCTACGTGTTACCAGCGTGAGAAAGGGGTGACAGGACAACTAGACTCTGGGAATACCATGGGAAGGACCAGGAGGGAACAATGGGAGGGATGATGGAAAGGGGCAGGAATGCAGATCATAGATGGAAATGAGGACCTATTCCCCCATCCTGGTTTCTGTGATCTGGTTTTATGGTGTGACCTGCCCTTCTCTTTCCCCAAGTTTGGTCACTATCACGTAGGGGCTAGGGCAGTGACCTCCATCCCACACTGACTCTGTATCCAAAGGTGTCGGACCAGAATGATCGAGTCGTTGAGTGTCAGTTGCAGACACACAACAGCAAGATGGTGACCTTCCGATTCGACTTGGATGGAGACAGTCCTGAGGAGATCGCAGCTGCCATGGTTAGGAGGAAGGAAAAGAGGCTTTCATGACTGGGTCCAGGATGGATCTCTCTGTATTGATGGTCCCCAGCACTATTCTAAGCATGGTGGGGAATACCAAGGAAGTAGAAAGCATGGTCCCTGGCCTTGAAGGCCATTTGGGGAAAAAGTCACTTAAATCCATAAAACAAGGAGAAAACATAAGGCAAGATCTAGTTAAATCATTAGGATGGCATGGACATAATGTCACAGTTTAAAGAGATGGAAAGGTAGCGTGGAACGGTGGAAAGAGCCCTGTTCTGGAGTCAGTGAGTCAGCCAGTCAGTAAACATTTATTAATCACCTGCTATGTACTTAGCACAATGCCTGGAGTCAGAGGACCCAGTTCAGATCTCGCCTCTGATACACATTACATGCGAGCTCAGGCAAGTCACTTGACCTCCTTGGGCCTCAGTTCTCTTATCACTGAAATCCGAAGGTGGCCTAGATGCCCTCCGAGGTCCCTTCCAACTCTAGGTCTGTGATAAGCTCATAGACTCAATGATGATTTTTATTAGCAAAGGCTAGCCTTCCATTTAATGTAGTCAGCATTAATTAAGTACTTTCTGTGTGCAGAGCAGTGGACTTAAGTCCTGGAAGAGGTAGAAAGTTGCTTTTATTTCTCTTGCAACTGCCATGGTACTCTGCCAGGCAGAGAGCTTTGGAGTTTCTGGACTGACGTGATCAGCAGTAGGGAGCTACTGCAGAATCTTGAAGAGGAAAATAGCAGGACAGAAGTAATATTTTAGGGAATTTAGTTTGTTAGCTATGTGTGGAATATATTAATAAATAAAAAAGACCAGTGGCAGAGAGTTCAGCTAAGAACTGTTGCAGTATCCAGGCATGAGATGAGGAGAGTTGAATTTCAGGGACATTTCTTTTTCTTTTTTTTCCCCCCCTAGGCTATAGGGTTAAGTGACTTGCCCAGGGTCACACAGCTATAGTAAGTGCTATGTGTCTGAGGCTGCATTTGAACTCAGGTCCTCCTGAATCCAGGGTCGGTACTCTATCCACTTCGCCACCTACCTGCCCCTCAGGGACATTTCAAAAGAACTGGCAGAACTCAATGCCAGTTAAGTCCAGTGACGATTTGGAGATAGTACTTTGTGCATATGGGAAGGGGAGGGAGAGAGGGAGGCTAAGAGAGATAAGAGGGAGACAGAGACAGAGACAGACAGAGATAGAGAGGGATGTATGTATGGGTAGCTCAATGGTTATTCACACATGCATACACACATGTGTGGCATGTGTACATAAACATATGTTGAATATTGGTCACAAAAAAAGGGAAAGCATCAAGGATTAGTGGAGTTTCTAGCCCAGGAGATTGGAATAAGAGAGCTGCCATTAAAGGAATAGAAATGGATCCCCAGGGAAAAGATTGAGAGGCAGTGTTGTATAGTGGAAAGAGGATGGGGACTGGATCTATGACTTTATTGATAAAGGGAACTTCCAGATGGGGAAATTTCCTCTACCAATGAAGGTCAGCACCTTCTCTGACACTGAAAATCTTAGAGAGTTACCTAGGGCACTAAGAGGGAAAGTGACTTGTTCACAGACACAAAGTCAATGTCAGAAGCGGGGATTTGAACTTGGGTCTTCCAGACTCCAAAGCACACTCTCTAATTACTGTATCATGTTGTACAGTGGAAAGATCACTGGATTTAGAGCTTAGCACGGTGCCTAGTATGCAGTAAGCACTTAATAAATGTTCTATCTATCCATCCATCTATCTGTTAACCTATTATTCCATCTATCTATCTATCTATTTACCTTTCTATCTATCCATCCATCTCTCTATGGAAGATCTGGATTTGAATCCAGGCTCTACTCCTTACTGCCCCTGTGACCTTGGACAAGTCACTTTAGCTCTTTGGAACTCAGTATCCTCAACTGTAAAATAAAGGAGTTGGATTAGATCAGGGGTGGGGAACCTTCAGCCTCGAGGCCATATGTGGTCCTCTAGGTCCTCAAGTGGGGCCCT